TTATCCTAATTATATTTTAGATTTTTTATATTTAAAATGAGATGTTTATCCTGTATTTGATTGTGTTTATCTGCAGTTAGTTACACGAATTCAGATATGAGATGAAATCGGATGGGGATGAAATCGGATAGGGATGAACGGGTTTAAGAGTTTTTAAGAATTTTAAGAGTTTTAGCCAAATGTTTTATAAGATAGTATATATATATATATATATATATATATATATAGGGTTGGGTTCACGTGAAACCAGACTGTTTTCGTGAGACCCGTGAAACCACATTTTTACATTTAAAACTTCACAGCAAAAACACTGTGAAGGTTTAAAAAAGTCGAACATTCACAGTAAAAACACTGTGATGGTTACCTTCACAGCATTTTGTTGTGAAGTTTCAAGTGTAAAAAGCTGGTCTCACGGGTCTCACGAAAACAGGCTGGTTTCACGTGATCCCAAGTCTCTCTCTCTCTCTCTCTATATATATATATATATATATATTAGAAGCGTATACTTGCACAATACATCGAGATACATCTCAATTTTAATGTTTTGTTTCATAATATGGTTTTGAGAAAACGATAATGTTTTTATATTTGAATAAAATATAAATTTTAAGACCCATAATTTTATTTATCTATAATTAGTATCAAACTAATAACAATTTAAAAGTTCTCATGTATATATGTTTTAGTTCAATTTTTTAGTATAATTTCGTTTAAAGTTTAATAACGAATAAATTTATTTTAGGTTTAATAATATAATTTTTTTATATAGATAATTTTTAGTTCAATTTTCTTGTTATAATTTAGTTTAGATTTGATGATAAATTAATTTATTTTTGAAGTTTAATAATATAATTTTTTTATATAGATAATTTTTAGTTCAATTTTCTTGTTATAATTTAGTTTAGATTTGATAACGAATTAATTTATTTTAGGTTTAATGATATGATTTTTTTATAAGTATAATAATCAAATATTCTGTTAAAACATAATGTTTATCTTAATTTTTATTTAGATATGATGTTTATCTTGTATTTGATTATATTTATCTGAATTTAGTTACACGAATTTAAATATGAAGCTTTAATTAGTTGTACTTAAGCATAATTTACTTGTAATCTTGAATATATATATATATATATATATATATATATATATATATAGGGCCCTATTCAAGGGAGAACTGAGTTGTTTGTGGTAACTGTGAGAACCAATCTCAACCACAAATCAAAAGATAAACAAGGAAATTAGTAATTATGGTAGTTTGAGTTAAAATTATAATTAAAGGGCATTTTAGGTATTTTTAAAAAACTCCTCTCTCCTCTCTCCGACCTCCAAACTCCGGCCTCCGGCCAACATTATTCCGGCATGTACCAAGTAATCACAAAGATACACAATGTGATACCCATTGTGATATACTGTGATACCAATTATTATACCAACTCAAACCATAAAAATAAAAGCAAACTCATTGTGATACACTGTGATAAAACAAGGAAAATAATGAAATTGCATATTGTGATACAGTACATAAAATAAAACTACCGGATACACTGTGAAACACTGTGATACAGTCATGAAATTGCATATTCCGGTGTCTGGTCAACATAACAGGCCAAATCACCCACATGGGGACTCGCCGGAACTCCAGAAACTCGTCGTAATCGCAAGCATCCAACAACAAAAGACCACCGGAGAAACAGGGATGATAATCGTCGTAACTGCCGGTTTCTTGTTTTTAGGGCGTCACCATTTGCGACGGCGGGAGTTGATGGCGGCGGGAGTTGAGAGGGCTCATCGTCACAGTCGTTGGTCTCTGCAGATTTTTTGTCGACGTTCGTGCTTCTCAGAACACGCTTTCGAATATGCGAGAACACGTTTAGTGATGATAAAGGAGAAGATGAAGAAGTAGATGYCGTTCAAGTCTCACCAAAGGTCTAGAATGTATATAGATATTACATATTTCAAAAAGAAAAAGAAAAAACATGCCAGTCTTACCTTGGTAGACGATGACGTGGGCATGGAATACCTGCAAGCTGTTAGAAAAATGGAGTATCCTTAGTTATTTGAGTTTTTGAATCTGGCTTTCTTCTGCAATATAAATTTGGGGAGAGATGGTAAAGAGAAAAAGAGAGATTAGATATGAGGAAGTGACAATAGTAAGTTTATGATTTGAGGAAGGAAGAATATTAGGAGTGCCTCACTATCAAAGAAAACATAGAAATAACCTAGATGGGGGTGATGGTGGTGGCCGGAGAAGAAATAGATGAAGGAGAAAGTAATATCTAGGGTTTTATGTATATAAACATTACCAAAATACCCTTTATGTTATTTTAGGATATAAAATTAATTATTAAAATGATTGGCTGAGATTGGTTCTCACAGTTACCACAAACTAATCAGTTCTCATTTGATTAGGCCCCTATATATATATATGGAAGTTATAAGGATCAATGAAAATGACAAATTTCAAAGTGTACAAAGAAAATTAGGGGAGGTTAAATGCATGTTATATACTTATTGATATCATTTATATACATCTCTTATAAAATGTCAACAATAAGACAATTGTTTTACATTTTTTACATATGATTTGATCTGATTATGATGTAAATAGATATGTTTATAATAATAACCGAACATTAGACTATTATTTGTTGTTCTTATATATGAACGGTTATATCTAGATAGGATAATGGAGTACTACTTAGGGGTGAGCAACCGAACCAGGTACCCACTTGTGGAACTGCCTTGGAATTGCCGGTTCCAGAACCGGAACCGATATGAGTGGTTCCGGTTCCGGTTCCTAAACTACGGAACCGATTGAGAATCATTCCGGTTCTCAATTTTTCGGAACCGATTGAGAATAATTTCGGTTCTCAATTTTTCGGAACCGTTACCCGCTGAGTACCTGTCGGGACTAGGTACCCCCTGAACCGGAACTGGCGGATACCCGGTATTTTTCAATTAAAAATAATAATTAATTTTTTTTAATACTAAATTTGAATTAAGTAAATAACTCTAGATTCAGAATTTAAGATAAAATTATTCGTAGTTTTTCAAATTGTGTGTTTAATTGGATTTGTAGTATGTAATCGTTAAACAATATTTGTAACCAGTATTCCTTATAATTTGTATTCTTGTTTATTTATTTAGCGTTTTGACAATGTTTTATATTTTATTTCTAAATAACAAAATTTAATATTTTAGGAAGCGGGTATCCGGAACCGGTTCTCGGCGGTTCCGGTTCCGGTTCCAAAAATCCAATAACCGCTCTAACCGGTTCCAATATCTCAAGAACCGTCGGTTCCGGTTCCGTTCAAATAGGGCGGATACCCGCCTATGCTCACCCCTAGTATTACTTTGCTCAAATAAGAACTTGTAAGGAACGAGATTAGAAGTTGGGTTCTTATTACGAAGTTGTGATTGGAGAAGAACTTGTAACGACACTAGATTCTCTAACGATATAATTAGTAAATGATAAAAGTTATTCATAATTAGTCATGATATTTTCTAAATTCCGATGATTCTTCTCTATCTTATTGTGCAATATGAAATACTCATCGTTCAAATAAAAAGTTGAACTTTACATGTGCAACACTTTTTAAGCATGTATGTCGTTGGTTTTGGACCCACCACCTTATACGGCACTAGTTGAAGGAAGTTTTCCAATCACGGACTCAAACGCTGTGTGATTCCTGTTGAAGCATATACTCGATGCTCTAGTCAATGAAATATCGTCGGATCCTATCAGGGACAGATCCATAAATTTTAAACGGTGACATTATTTACTTATAAAAAATAAATATAGGGATATTTTTCACAAAATCATCATAGGTCTGTTTGTTAATTCATTATTTTTCATACATGAGATCTTGTGTTCAAGTCTGTTATTGCAAAAAATAAATCATAAACATAATAAATCGGAAATTAATAGCTAAAAGTTAAGAAAAATGACACTAACGGGATTCAAACTTGCGTCCAGGATGGAATAAAAGGCTCGCAAAGCAACTCTACCAAGGGGAGCTTGTCTCTTCGTTGTAGTTTCAAAGTATATATGATGATGACACACAAAAAAACTGATACGGTGACATTTTTCATGACCCTGTAATTTTTTACACTACGAGAAGTAACGACACGGACCACTCTACATCGGGTCCATCTCTAGCTCCTATCAATTACTCCATGTGATTATCGTACTGTCTCTTTTATTATCATCTCCATGGAATAGGAACTAATGTTTTCTGAAATTATTGTCATTGTTTTTATTCCGTTTTTAAAGTGTACGCTATCGTTTTTTTGCTTTCATATTGAATGGCTTTGGTAAAGACGTCAATCATATTTAACACATTTAGAGAATCCTCACGACTTATATAAAATACCGACACAAAATAATCGATTAACCAAAAAATACGCAAAAGAGACGGGGTTTTATATTAAAAGAAAAACTAAAACTAGAAAACGTAGCAAATTCGTACAAAGTTAAATAGAAGACTGAAGCGTTAAAATTTGGACATGACCAAGGTATATATCGTCGATACTTCGAAAACTATGCATATTTAAATGAGTTTTTAATATTTCATGACAACGGGACGGGAATGGAGCGGGTTTTGTAATCCCCGAACCCGGTTTTTAGTAACGGTACTCGACCCAGTCCCCGATAGATCGGAGATTAACATCTCGTCTATGGTGGATGGCATCATTTTCATTCACGTGGCAATAAAACATTGTCCACAAATAGGTTTGTCAAACCTTAACTTGATAAGATGGTGGACCTCTATTCGCTTTTTAAGAATTAAACGCTTTTTTATTTCGCTTTTTAAGAAATAAATGCCTTTTTAATTATTATTTTTCCGATAATTTTGAATTTTTCAGTCAGCTTATATTTACCGATTAAATTTTCAGGTGATTACAAATAGGGGTGAGTATAGGCGGGTACCCGCCCTATTTGACAGGAACCGGAACCGGCGGTTCTTGAGATATTGGAACCGGAACCGGAAACGGTTAGAGCGGTTCGTGAATTTTTGGCACCGTTTCCTAAAATATTAAAATTTTGTTATTTAGAAATAAAAAATAAAATATTGTCAAAACACTAAATAAATAAACAAGAATACAAATAATATGGAATTATGGTTACAAATATTGTTTAACGATTACAAATCATAATAGACTAATAGTAAATGCTGAAAATTTAACGACTACATACTATAATTGTAAATGTTCAGAGTTTAACGATTACATACTAAGAATCCAATTAAACACATAATTTGAAAAAATACGAATCATTTTATCTTAAATTCTGAATCTGGTTTTAACTTTTTGCATACCCATCGCATTCTCAACCTCATACGGTATCTGTGAATAATTGAGTGTTAAAAAAATTACACAAACTCGTAAAAAACTGCACATATTTTTAACTCAAAACTACACATATTTATAACAAAAAACTACAAAAATTTTATATATATAAAAACTGCACAAAGTTTGTATAAAAAACTGCACATATTTTTAACATAAAATTACACAAACAACATAAAAAGTTGCACAAATTATATAAAAAAAAAAATTTGAAAAATGCCGGGTACCCGTCGGTTCCGGTTCAAGACCCGCCGGTTCCGGGTATCCAGTCCCGGTGGGTAACGGTTCTGAAAAATTGAGAACCGGAACCGGAACCATTCTCAATCGGTTCCGTATTTTAGGAACCGGAACTAGGGGTGTTCAAAAAAATCATTGGACCGCACAAACCAGCCGAACCAAGTCAAACCGGACCGTTTTTGGCGGTTTGGTTTGGAAAATATAATAACCGGGCGGTCCGGTCCGGTCTGCAGTTTGGAATCTTTTTTGGACGGTTTGGACCAAACCGACCGCCATATATATATATAGACTTGGGATCATGTGAGACCAGCCTGTTTTCGTGAGACCCGTGAGACCAACATTTTACACTTGAAACTTCACAGCAAAATGCTGTGAAGGTGACTTTTTAAAACATTCACAGTGTTTTTGTTGTGAAGGTTCGACTTTTTTTAAACTTTCACAGTGTTTTTGCTGTGAAGGTTACGTGTAAAAATGTGGTCTCACGGGTCTCACGAAAACAGGCTGGTCTCACGTGAACCCAACCCTATATATATATATATATATATATATATATAGACTTSGGATCAYGTGAGACCAGCCTGTTTTYGTGAGACCCGTGAGACCARCWTTTTACACTTGAAACTTCACAGCAAAATGCTGTGAAGGTAACCTTCACAGTGTTTTCAGCTGTGAAGGTTCGACTTTTTTAAACATTCACAGTGTTTTTGCTGTGAAGTTTCAAGTGTAAAAATGTGGTCTCACGAAAACAGCATGGTCTCACGTAAACCCAACCATATATATATATATATATATATATAGGAGCGATCAAATAAAAAGCGACCCAAATAATATATATATTATTTAATTATTTATTTTAATATTAGCAAGCCCAACTTTTTTAACTTATGGACTATTGTTCAAATATATCACTAATCCCAACATAAAGTCTAACATCTAACATAATCAAAATGGATATTTAATCTAAAATTATAAATTATATATGTTTTTTTAAGTTTAACATTTAAAGTCTACTAAAGACTCAAACCACCTAAACTGGTCAGACCAGACCGTCTTTTCGTGGTCTGTTTTGACCGGTCTGGACACTTAATGTCAAACGCTCGGTTTGAAAATTTTATAAACCGCCACTACGGTTTATTTTGTGATCTAAGAGGTTAAGCCGCCCAAACCGGACCTCGAACACCCCTAACCGGAATCACTCATATCGGTTCCGGTTTCGGAACCAGCAGTTTCAAGGCAATTCCGATTCCACTGCTCACACCTAATATTTAAAAATAACCTAGGATTAAGGTAGGTGAATATCTACGACCACAAAGGTCTCTATCAATACCTAAATTCGAATCCTAAATAGATGAGATTTTCCAGAGTTAACCAATGTGCTACAACCGAAGTGGTTTACTCTTTTTATTGTTACTAGTGCTCGGCACCGTGCGTTGCACGGTGATCATAGTAGATGTCAAGTAATATACAAAAAATTGTGAACCACATCAATATCCCTATACTTCAAAATTGAAAATACTAAATTTTCATAGTGCATTTGTAACCCTTCCAATATTTCAAGGCATCCTTCTCGTTTCATATACTTAACTGTTTTTCAGGAAAAAAAAATTCTCATTACTATGGATTAAGATTCAAGTCAAATTCAACCACAATTAATAATTTGAAAATATTAAATTCTAATTTGTGACATCAATATCTTATAGCATTATATATTAATTTAATTAATTAATTAATTTAACTTATAATATAGATTTTTTTTTTGTAAAAAAAGGATTGGCCAAAAATCCTATGTTAGGAGGGTCTACCAAATAAGTTAAGCACCATGAGTTTAGAGAATCATTCAAGGGGAGTCAGCCCTATGAATTGTCACATAGACATCCCAATCTTGCTTTATATATCTATCATTCAGTGTCAATCTTTTATTTATCTATCAATATGAGATAGACAAAACTAATCAGAATTCAAGATTAAATAATACTCAATCTTAGGGTGTCACATTGATGGTTGTAGTTCTTACTTTTAAATATAGAAAGAACAAAGATTATATATATAATTAATTTTTAATATTGATTAACCCTTCTGGCAAAAAGAGAGTTGGCCAAAATGAATCAACCTCATGTGTTCGAAGGGTGCCAAAGTGCTCTAACCACAGGTGTTAGAAGAACCAACCAAAAGAAACCAACCTCATGAGTTGTCACAAAAGCATCTGGACCTCATTTTACATATCTAACATTTTTGTCAATCTTTCAACTCTCAATCAGTGTGGGATATATAAAACTCAATCATAATTTAAGATTGAAGAATATTCAATATTAGGGTGTCGCATCAACGGTTCCGCTTCTTACTTTCAAAAACATATTAAAATTATCTCTTCAATTAATATTTAGTATAGATTAATTTTGTCACAAAAAAAGGGTTGRCCAARATGAGTCAACCGCATATGTTTGGAAGTTCAGTCAAAATGATCCAATCACGTGACCAATGTGGGATATCTCAAACTCAACCATAATTCACCAATACCTCAATACTCAATTATCATGATGTCACCTCAATACTCTTGGTTCTTCCTTTAATATATATACAGATTCACCAACACCTCAATGCTCGTGGTTCTTCCTTTAATATATATACCCTATGAGGCAAACTCCATGAATCGACACAAATGCACCAATCCATATGCCACCTCATCACCACAACGTTTTAAATTTTATAATCTTCATGGTGTCACCTCATCACCCCAAGGTTACATATATAGAGGGTGGTTCATATATATATATATAATTAATTTTGCACTATAATTTCTACCATTTGGTTTGATTGGTTTCCAACCATGGTTATAGATTTCAAAAGAGTCATCCAAAGAAAGAGAACTTTATGAGGCAAACCTCATATTTGACACAAAGACATTCAATATATATATATATATATAATATAATATAATATAATATAATTAATGTTTGATAATCGGGTTTGTTAACAAAAACTTTGAGGGTTGTTTTGGATAAATGTTATAAGTTGAGGGATTGTTTTGAGAACTTCTTTAAAAAAAGTTGGTGAGTCTTCTAAGAGTTTTCAGGTTCGAATAAAAAACAGATGAAAAAGAAGAAGAAATTGTTGATAAGCGTTCTTGACTGGATAATTTGTTGTTGTTTATCATCCTCATCTCTTTTTGATTTAAGGTGAGGTTTTATCTTAACTCATCATTTGATTTGTGTTAAAACAGAACCGTATGGTTCCATATGTGGATGATTTGAAACTGATTATATGTTATTTTAAACATAATTGTGTGTTTTGATATGTTATTATCAATTGGTTGGAATAAGGGTGGCATAATCAGAAGAGATGTATTTTGAGATAAGAGTGGCATATTCAAGATAGGCGTATTTTGGAATAAGTGTGTCATAATCAGGAGAGACGAATATTGGGATAAGGGTAGCAAAATCTTATGTATGTAAAAATGAGATTTTGATCATGAGGAATTGTTATCGCTTTTCATGATGCGATGAGTTTGATTTATCGCATCTATGTGATGCGATGAGATAATGTTATTGCATCCTTGAGGTGCGACAAATGTATTTATCGCATCCTTGTGATGCGAGAGTTATGTTAACGCATCCTTGTGATGCGACAAGTTGTATTTATCGCATAAATGTGATGCGACAAGATTGGGTTATCGCGTCCTTGTGATGCGAAAAAGTGTATTATTGCATCTATATGATGCGACAAGATGATGTATATGATGCGATAAAATTGTGATCGCATCAATGAGATGTGACAAGTTGATATTTTTTATGTTTAATACGATGTCTTTGGTATTTCATGGGTTAAGCTATAAAAAGGAGGTTGTTTGGTCTATATGATGCGACAAAATGGTTTATTTTAATAAAACACTGTTTATTTGTTATCAATATAAATATGGTCTTTCTAAAAGTGTTTTGGTGATTTTCACCATGTAATAACAATCAAAAATGGATTTTCTCACTAAACCTTATGTTCTAACTCTCGTTTTGTTTTAAAAATATACATTACAAGTCAGGTACATACAGAGAGTAAGGGTAAAGGAAAACATGTGAAGATATTATTATGATTGTTTTACATATGTGGGTTTTTGGAAGTTGTTATATTACTAAATCTTAGACATTTTTGACGTGTTATAAACACGATTCTGAATGTTGTAGAACTTTCTATTAAGTCTGCTAAAATGGTAACTGTCATGTCACTACTAGACAGATAACTTTTATCTACGGATCACTGAGAGCCTATTAATCATTATGACAACTTAACCATTCTGCACCAAACCATTCAGCAATTGTCAAACAATTCGGGATACTTTTTACCAGATTTTGTTCTAATATAAATTTCAAATTTTCTTGTTTATAATGAAGTTATATTAAACTTCTATTGTAGATTACAAGTATGCTCAAGTAATTACATGAAACAAATAGAAAACATAAGAAACTCCCAAAACAAAGCATAGCCAAATGATTGCAACCATCCTAATAATACCCCTTTAATAACACTCATCTTTGGGTTAATACTCTTACCATCTATTATGATTAAGCAAACCAAATATGCATCTACGTCGATCGGGTTAATTAAGGCATGTCGTTCAAGACTATGGGGGCGTCGTTGTACCCGGAGCCACAACAGTTAACCACAACCTTGGTGCCACGAGGCAGTGTAGGGCAAAGCTTTTCGAGATACGCCAACGCATGAGAGGCTTCCAGTGCTGGAATTATACCTTCAAGACAACATAGTCTTTTGTATGCTGCATTTGTTCAATCTAAAGATGTTACAATAGGTTTATAGGACGTTTTTAAGCGCTTCAACAAGTTTTTTCAGGACGTTTTTATAATAAAGTATCGTATTAACTATAATAGTGTGTTTGTATACTTACCATCTAGAGCTTCTTGATCAGTGACTCTGTAGCACTCAACTCTGCCAGCATCTTTTAGAAAGCTTAGCTCTGGGCTTACTCCTGGGTACTCCAATCTGCATGCATACATACATACACACACACACATATATATATATATATATATATATAAACATCAAATGAAAAAGTGTCCTATAAAGTTGCTAATGTGACCTTTTGTATTAAAAATGTACTAAAAAACTTGTTAAGACGTCCAAAAACGTCATATAAGCTTATTACAACACCTTTAGATAGAACGCTTTATATTATGGTCCTATAAAGCGGTCTATTGGGACGCTTAGCGATTGGGGGCGTCATATAAATCCAATTTTGTTGTAGTGTTCGGTTTAATATGTTAAAAACAGTTTAGAACTTACCCACTAGCCACAGAGTGTGTCGTTGTGATATGGCCTTGTTCATCTTGAAGCAAATAACACATGGCTCCATGATAAACACCAATTTCACCTCTTACAAGACTTGCACAATGCAACTCATCCCCACCACCACCCTCAACTCCAATCATCCTTACACTTTCGTCACTCATGAACTCATGAAACAGACCTAATGCATTGCAACCACTCCCTACACAAGCAACCAACACATCTGGTTTCCCACCCCATTTCTCCATTGCTTGCTTTCTTGTTTCTTGTCCGATAATCGAATTGAATTCACGAACCATGGTCGGGATTGGGTGCGGTCCCACAGCCGTTCCAGAAAGGTAGTATTCGGTTTCTAGGTTTCCTAGCCATTCCCTCATTGATTCTGAAGCTGCTGCCTGAAAACTTCCATCCACAAGCTTAACCTATAATACAATTGTTCAAAATATAGTTAGTTTCTGATCAGTTTGATCCACAAGATTGGTGCATGATTGGTTTGAGCTTGGCTCCGTCCTAGGTTCAAATCCAAGGAGGAATAAAAATCCCCTTGTGGCCACGGAGGTTCAAATGCGGTGACTCTGGGCTATCTGCAAAGCAGGTGGTCGCCCTGGGATTAGTCGGCTCGCATACCGGGTTGGATATCCAGGTTAATAAAAAAAATTAATTGGATGCACTACAACAAGATCGGTTTTATAGGACACTCTCAAATTCTAAGTGTCCTAATAGACCTCTTTATAGGACTTAGTTTATAGGACCAAAAAAATAAAGTGTCTTATGTAAAGGTGTTGTAATAAGTTTATATGACGTTTTTTGACGTCATAATAAGATTTTTAGGACATTTTTAATATAAAGCGTCTCATTATCAACTTTGTATGACACTATTTGAAAACTGTCTTGTAAAAACAAATGTCCTATAAAAAATCGAGTTTATAGGACACTTTCTCAAAAGTGTCCTATAAAGTTGCTAATGCGACATTTTGTATTAAAAATGTCCTAAAAAACTTGTTAAGACGTTCAAAAGCGTTATATAAACTTATTACAACACCTTTAGATAAGACACTTTATATTTTGGTCCTAAATTAAATCCCATAAAACGGTTTATTGGGACGCTTAGAGATTGAGAGTGTCCTGTAAACCCAATTTTGTTGCAATGATGTTGAGTAGATAAACTGAAGGCATGTACCCTAGCTCCAAGCAGCTTCATGAGTTGCAAGTTGGAGGGTTTTCGCCTCATGTCTCGGGTTCCCATGAAAATGGTACAATCTAACGAGAACTTGGCGCACACCGCAGCCGTTGCGACACCATGGCGGTCGGCGCTTGTGGCTGTTATAACGCTTTTTCGACCCATACGTTTGGCCAAAATTGCTTGTGCGATGACATTGTTCATCTTGTAAGATCCTCCATGGTTGAGATCCTCTCTTTTGAGATAGATTTCGGGCCCTTCTCCATTGATGTTCTTGTAATGATCTGTGAGCTTTTGGGCATGGTAGAGAGGAGTTTCGCGTCCTACGTAATCCTTCAGTGCAGTGGCTAGTTCCATCTATGGTCGTATTTTTAAATCAAAGCACTTTTCTTAGTTGATGATCCATGATCAAGAAATCTTGTGAATATGTTTATGCAGAAACTGATATAAAGTGTATATATATATATATATATATATATATATATATATATGTATATGTATGTATATTCATTAAGAACCGAGGACCACTCATGATGCAACACATGGCATATTCATAAAAAATATGAACATGTGTCAGTAACATATTCATTATGAATACATGCTTCATGATAAGTAGCATGTCCATATGCATTATGAATGTGTTATTCAAGATAAAATATCCATCCCAAAGAGAGATACATGACGCATAGTAGACGGTTCATGGTTCTCAAATGAAAAACAAGTTTTCAGAACTTTCCTCTCACTATATATATGTGTGTGTATATGTATGTATATAAATATATAGAGGGAGGTTCAGATGAAAACCCTAAAATAATGAAAAACCGAATAACACATTGTTAATAATTCATCTGGAGAGTATGCACACGTGCATATAAGTAATTAAAAGCTTTTTGGGTTTTTTCCACATGTGCATACCGGACAACTTGCTTACAAATTATCGGTATATATGTACATGAACAGTTATCAGGATATTCTTCACTAATTCCATTTTTTGTTATTTTCCCCTTAACCTGAACATATATATATATATATATATATATGCATATATATACATACATACATATACATGCATATATATACATATATATAATATACATAAAGCTAGTTTCATACGTGTGATTATACAAATTACTTATTGCATGAAAAGAAGATTTAACGACGAACCTTAAACTCTTGATCATGCAAAAGTGAGTTGAACTTAGCTTCGAGTTCGGCTAATGGAGCGATGAGGACTTCGCCGACAAACTTCCCCCCAAACCTTCCAAACTTTCCGGTGGTCGGAGTCGGAGTAGTCTCCATGGGCACAGTACTTAGTGTCTTTGTACAAGATTTACTTCTAAAATTTAGGTTTGTGTTCAAATTCACAGGCTCAAGGTTTGGTACTACCACTTCCCCAACATAAGGGATTGAAAGCTTTTGGACACTGAATGCCATTTCTAGAGAGAGAGAATTGAAGCTTGGTATGCAAGTAGTGACTAATGTTTATCTATATATATACATATATATATATACATATATATATATATACATATATATATATATATAAGGTTGGGTTCACGTGAGACCAAGGGTTTTTCGTGAGACCCGTGTAAGGCCAATTTATGTTAATTGATCAACTTTATAAGCTAATGATCTAAAGTTGTACGGTGACAATCTATATATTTATAAAGCAGAATCATGATACGTTGACGTGGCATCTCCTCGACGCAAAGATCCTATTTTCCTCTTTTTTCCACATGCATTTTGGTTTTTTTTTCTTAACAATTTTGCAAATTAATGTTCACATTTAACTCAAAAACTCTTCTTTTTCTCTTGGAACGTTTCAACTTCAATATTTAAATCCTTCAATCTTTGGTTTTTTTTTTCATTTACGTGTTCTCCATCTCCATACGCTCTCCCCTCTTCTTTTCCATCTCTCATCAATGGCAGAAGAGTATACACGAGTTTATCAATATGTAAGAAGACATTGGAAATTGGATTAAGGAGAAATCTCCATTGAGGCTTTAGAATTTTGTGAGAATTTTGATTATTTTTATTTTTGTTGTAGATTCACTTTTGCTTTTATGTTTTTTATAGTTTTTAAATTTGTAATTTTGTAAGAAAAAAACACCAACAATAAAGTGACATTTTTAGGCATCGCTATCATATTTTCTTTTTCTCGAACTTTGCTTATTTTATTGTAATTATTATCAAAACATTAAATTAATTAKACTATTCATTTTCGTTGGTTACACCCAATTTTTTTTGTTCGTTTATCCCATGTAACTCTATTTTTCATTTACATAACAATAATTGAACACACACACACACACATATATATATATATATATATGTATGTATTCAATATATATAATCAAAATATCTGAAAACTCATTTATATGAATGAAATTACGATCAATGTATGAGTATTTTTATTTACATACTTGAATATTATA